CAGGCAGGGCAAGGGTGGGGGCTGCTTGGGGGAAAAGCAGGGCTGACTCTGCAGCTGCCCTGCTTCTCCTCCCAAACACCCCTCCATCCCTCCTCCATCAATGCTGGCCCCTCTGCTGCCACTGGAGCATAGCCCCACAGCCGGTGGCAGCAGCGGGGCTGGCATTGCTCTCCCCGGTCCACCACATTGCCGTAGTTCAGGGCCAGTCAGGTCCCAACAGTGTCAGATCCAACCTGTACTAATCTGCCAGTACAGGCAGTCCCCGGGTTACGTACAAGATAGGGACTGTAGGTTTGTTCTTAAGTTGAATCTGTATGTAAGTCGGAACTAGCGTCAGCCGCTGCTGAAACTGATCAGTTTCAACAGCGGCTGAATCTGGACGCCAGTTCTGACTTACATACACATTCAACTTAAGAACCCCAGGCATCCCCAAGTCAGCTGCTGACCCCCACCCAAGTAGCCTTTTTTCGAAAAAACTTCATCTGCGTCTAGACTACAGCTGCGTTCTTTCAAAATTAAATCGAAAGAACGCGGCTTTTCTTTCGACGGCGGTAAACCTCATTTCACGAGGAAGAACGCCTTTTTTCAAAAGTGCTCTTTTGAAAAAAGGCGTTCTTGAATGCAAACTGTGCTTTTTCGAAAGAGAGCATCCAGACTGCCTGGGTGCTTTCTTTCGAAAAAGCGGCTTGCTTTTTCAAAAGTTCCGCTTGCAGTCTAGACGCTCTTTTTCGAAAGAGGCTTGCAGTCTAGATGTAGCCGAAGAAGCAGAGGTAGAAAAGGATCCATCTGGGATATGAAAGGAAAAACCAACTCCCTTTGTTGCCAGCTCAAGAGTGCTTGCATAGATTGATCCCAGTGATGATAAATGATCTGGCAGACGCTCCTGGCTATATGACAGATGCATAGCAAATAAGAATTTTAATTCAATTTCCTGTAAAAGGGGAAGGAGGAGAAAAAACAGATGGGCAAAGCACTAACTGATGGGCAACTAAACTGGATTACAATTCTTATTTGCTTTGGATAGGGACATCAGTGAGGTCTCTTCTGCCACATCCCTTGTTGTTACAGAGCTAAAAATGGAAGAACCTAGTGGGCAAATCAGAAGACACAAGAGTCTCCCCAGATCTTTCTTAGAACTATGCACGGCTAGTGCGAAGGAAGAACTCCTTTTTTGCCACTTCCACCGTGACATCAGACCTGATTAGCATCTAGGACAAAGTATTTTGGACAGCTGTATATTTGTGAAGTCAAAGTTCCTTTTGGCTCTGGCAACATATATGTTCTAGAACATTGAATGTTTTTATTTTATTCCCCCTGTGGGTCTATTAGCAGAACATGTATTAGTGTGTTACATGGACTGTTTATCTGTGCATCACATCCTTTTTGCATTTTGATTAGCTCCGTCTTAAGGAGAAACTTACATCTTACTCACCAGCCTTTCACAAACAGCAAGTTTCACTTCAGCTGGGTGAATAATTGGTTTTTCAGTTTGCTAGCACTGCAAAATCATTTTGGGGGAAACAAATTGTTTTGTTTCCACTTTGATCATTTTTAATTTTATGAATAAAATAAAAGGCAAGCCAAAAACAAAGGCTACTCAAACTGAAAAAATATTAGTTGAGATTTTTCCAGATCGTTTTAAAACTATTTTCCCCTAAAACAATTTGGCACAATCAACATGCATTCAGGACACATTTCAGTGTTCACTGAATCTGTTTTTCTGTAGGAAAGATGTTTTGGTCAAAAATTAGCACAGCTACACACTGAAGTCCAAAAATGTAAGCAATCCGATTGACTTCAGTGGGAGGAAGCACAAGAATGTGTCTTGCTCGGGGGTTCTCCAATTTCATTGCACTGCCAATCCTTCTGAAACAAAAATTGCCACATGACTCCAGAAAGGAGCAGGGGGATTAATGTCTGAGCCCACCAGAGCCCCAATGCCTGGGGCTGGTAGGAATTGGCACAGCCAAAGCTCATACGCCACCAACCTCTGGCTTTGGCCCTGGGCTATGGGGCTCAGGTGTAAGCATCCGTTTCTGGCATCTGGTCTAAACCAGCTCCGATGACCCCATTAAAAAAGGATTGTGATCCACTTAGGGATCGATACCCACAATTTGAGACCCACTGATTTTATCCCACTGAAGTCGATGGGGGGGCTGCTTACATGTTTAAGTCACATGCATGTTTAAATACCTTGCTGCATCAGGGCTATACTCACCTTCTCTAGAAGAAAAGTTAATCTCCTTCAAAAATCTGTGTTCTGCACATTGGTTTTGTTTATTGTTTGTGCAGGCTTCCATAGAGACATAGACGGGTGTTTTTTTAAAAACCAAATCTGTTAGAACCAAGGAGGAAAATGTTCCGTGCATCCTTTTGTGAGACTCGGCACTTTGCAGTGACAATTCCTAGCTGCTTTACAAACTCCAAACTTCTTGACTGTGTAAACCACAAATAGCTGCAGCATTTCTACCCAAAAAAGTATCCAATCTGAAACGTCCAAATCGGCTTGTTCTCTAGGCTGGGCGACTCTATGGTCCTTTTGGTGAGTCTCTTAATGTCCTCCCTCCAAGAATGTGGAATGTTGTTTCCTTTTTACGCAATTGAATAATTTGAAGAGATCTAGCAGGAAATCTAGAAAAGTGCTAAGGGTGAAGTCACAGGCTGTGAACACCCACTCTCTAGCTGTTGGGATTGCCAGCTGTCTAATTGCACAAACCCAAACACCCTTGCCTTGCCCTTTTGCCTCATCCCTTCCCTAAGGCCCCACCTCACCCTGCCTCTTCTCCATGGCTTCATCCCCCCTTCCTCTGTCATTTGCTTCCGCCCCCTCTCCCCCCGCACTCACTTTCACTGGGATGGGCAGAAGGTCGGGATGTGGTAGAGGGTGTAGGCTCTGAGCTGGGGTCGAGGGGTTTGGAATGTGGACAGGGGCTTTGGATTGAGGCAGGGAGTTAGGGTGCAGGAGGGGGTACGGGCTCTGGGAAGGAGTTTGGTTGCAACAGGAGGTTCAGGGCAGGGGCAGGGGGTTGGGGTCCAGGCTGTGGATGTGGGAAGGGGCTCTGGCCTGGGGCAGCAGTTTGGGGGGGACGGAGGGATTTGGATTGCAGGAGAATGGAGGGCTGCAGGTTCTGACTGAGTGGCACTTATGTTGGGCAGCTCCCGGTCAGTGGCGCAGCGGGGCTAAGACAGGCTCCCTGCCTGCCCTGCTCTCAGAAATGGCCAGCACATCTCCGTGGCTTCCTAGGAATGGGGGGCTAAGTGGCTCTGCGCACTGCTGTTGCCTGCAAGCACTGCCCCTGCAGCTCTGATTGGATGCGGTTCCCAGCCAATGGGAGCTGTGGAGCTGTCGCTCAGGGTGTGGGCAGTGCACACGGGCTTCCTGCTCCACCTCAGAGCAGGCCGCTTCTGGGATTGGTGTGGGGCCAGAAAGCCCTGCTGGCCAACAGGACTTTTTGGCTTCAGGAGCTTCTGGGAAATCGAGCTCGGTTCTGGGAGACTCTCAGGGAAACGGGGAGGGTTGGCAACCCTACTAGCTGCCTACACCCTTGTTGGGGCTTACAACTCAGTACAAGTCCCTAGATGAGGGCTGCATGCCGACTGTCCAGCAAACTCCTTGTATGGGAACCGCCCACGGTTGTTTGAGCAGGGAGAAGATTTTGAACCTTGTGTCATAAGCAGGCATTTTCCAGAGCACAGTTCCCTCACACGGATAACAATCAACCTTATTCACAATCTAGTTTAAGAAAACCCACTGCTCGGAGGGGAAGAGCCTCAAATATATGACTTGCACTAGGAGAGTCAGCGATGAAAACATGCTGGGGACCAGACTGTCTTCATGCTGCCCACTCTCACATCTTCCCCGGAAACAAAGGCTGTGTCTACACTGGCAAGTTATTCTGGAAAATCAGCCGCTTTTCCGGAAAAACTTGCCAGCTGTCTACACTGGCCACTTGAATTTCAGGAAAAGCACTGACGATCTAATGTAAAATCATCAGTGCTTTTCTGGAAAAACTATGCTGCTCCCGTTCGGGCAAGTCTTTTTCCGGAAAACTGTTCCGGAAAAGGACCAGTGTAGATAGCACAGTAGTGTCTTCCGCAAAAAAGCCCCCATTGCGAAAATGACGATTGGGGCTTTTTTGCGGAAAAGCGCGTCTAGATTGGCCACAGACGCTTTTCCGGAAAAAGTGCTTTTCCGGAAAAGCATCCTGCTAATCTAGACGTGCTTATCCGGAAATACTTTTAACGGAAAACCTTTTCCGTTAAAAGCATTTCCGGGAAATCATGCCAGTGTAGATGTAGCCAAAGAGTTTAAATGTCTTCAGTGACACACGGTCCCAATTCCCTCTCTCTTTACGTTAGTGCAGCCTGAATGAACGGCCACAGAGTTTCGTTGCCAGACGCCCTCTGACACAAACAAAATCTGATTGCTCTGGACAGCGAAATGAACTAGAGGTGGGGGATGACTGGGCGGCCTTTGGAGGGCTTTCTAGTTTCAGCTCATCCCCCCCTCCAGGCACAGCCAGGCTGGGCCCCTGGCCTGTGGTTTCTCCTGAGTCAGGGCCTGGAAACACTGTGTCTGTAGCAAGTGACAATCATTTCCTGCTAAGCAGCACCATCTAGAGGCCTTTGCAAACCGCGCCGCCATATAAAGCCGGGAGCGGAGCTGGCAGGGTGGAAGGAGCAGAAAAGAGCCGTCCCTTAAAACTCTTCTCTCACATCTTGATGAGATGTGAGCTCAGTCCAATCCTGTATTTCAATCTCTTGGGCCATCTTGCCTCATGCGTGGGTTCTCCCCTCCCCCGAATGGGGCTGGAAGGGAGCTGTAACTCACTGCATTTCCTCCAGGTCGTTTTCACAGATAGGATGGAGGAGGTAAAGCCCCGGAGTCTGGTTTGCAGGCGATGAGGTCACAGGGAGCAGCCTTTTCCCCCTCCTCGCACCATCCGTGGGCTCTTTGGGGTGAAGGGAGAAAGATGAACAATGCAGCTGGGGTGATGCTGCCCATTCCGAGCTAGGGTCTGTGCCCCACACTCCATCTTTTATGGAAACAGAGCAGATCAATGTTCCCACTAATCTTTTCCATCCAGGTGCAGCATAATTATTGTGTGTGCACCGAGACATGTGTGAATGTGCACCACCTGTAGAAACAAAAAACCTAGGTGTGGGCGCACTGCTAATCAGCTGGGCGGGCTCTGAATCCCTCCTAAGCGGCCGCTCAAGCGCACAGCGTACGTGGCACACACAAGGGGATGGGCAGGGTTCACAACTGAGTAGCCACTGGTATATGAAAACCTACAAATCTGTTCTCCACCCTCAGTGGCTTACTCCTGCTCTACTGAAATCAACAGCCAAACTTCCATCTGCTTTAATGAAAGTCAATGGGAATTTGGTGACAAACTTCCATAGGAACAGGAGACCCTTGGCAGGTGACGTTTTATGATCACTTTATGAAATTTGCCCCTAAATTTTATATACCATGAATCCCCTTCCCAGAGATAGTACTAAATCATTCCCCCCCACTAGTTCACTCACTCATATAAAAAAACATACTGTTTAGCAATTTCCCAACAGTCCCAACTAAACTGTTTCCAGAGACTTTACATTAGAGCTGTGCAAATACCAGATTTGTTTTCAATTCAGAGGCTGAACTGGCAAATCAGAAAGAATGTTTCAGGTTCAGCCTTGTTCAAAATGAAGCTTGTTTGCATGCTTGCTTGCTGATTTGTTTGTTTGTGTTTTTTTCATCTTTTTTAATAATCTTTTTGAAATTGAAAAACGAAAACATTTCATTTAAAAAATGTCTAAACTAAGTGGCTACGTCTAGACTGGGGTAGCACCAGGGATGCATGTGTGCAGCGACCTGCGTGGCTCAGCGGACGGAGTGCAGCAAGTGGAGTTGGGGGAGGGGCGGTGGCATTTAGTTCAATGCCTAGATAACTGTCGCTGTGCTCACGCCTAGAAGTCACAAATGTGCCGCTCCGTGTCTGAGAAGTTGGGATGCTCTCTCCTGCCCAGCTGCCCATGCGAGTGAGTGATTTTTCCTAATCGTGGCCACCTGGAGATCCCGTAGGACTGAGGAGACAAAAGGACTGAAGTACTCAATGCTTTCTTTGCCTAGGTTTGGAACTGAGTGAACCGTAAGAGCTGCTTTTCAGGACGGTGAGCGTGAGGCGGAACCAACGATTTCTTCCTCCCAGCATCCTTTCCACATCGCCGGGAGGTAGCGCCAGCCAGCTCCAGGGAGTCCTCTCCAGTAGGCAAGAGGGAAGCTGGGCACGGGGGCTATTTATGTCTGACACGACTGCAGGGTATTTATGTCTGACACGACTGCATGATCAGCACATTTATCATACAGCCACCAGCTTCCCCGCTGGCTAAGCCTTGTGGAATGGTGCAGGCCAGGCCTCTGGAAGCAGAGGAGCTGTGTCTGATCAGCACATTGATCATACAGCCACCAGCTACCCCGCTGGCTAAGCCTTGTGGAACGGTGCAGGCCAGGCCTCTGGAAGCAGAGGGCCCATCATGCTAGTTCAGGGTGTTTCCAGGCACTTCTGCTCTCTCGGTGGTGGGCAGGAGTCTTTGGAGATCAGCTGCCACACACAGTGCAGCAACCTCCCATGAAATTGTGTGTGGCCTTTTCTTGCCTACAGACAAGTGGTTGTCATTCACCTAAGCAACAAGGACTGTGTCTGTACCACGTCCTGGCCTGAAGGCTGACTGGAGACTGGGTTTTTTGTGCCCGCAATTTTCTTGGTTAAGATGCTCAGGAAAGGTTGGACATAGCACAGTGACTTGTACGGCGGAAAGCACAGTGTGGTGGCTTTTCTAGTGCAGGCTGGACTGCTGTGCAGTTTGGGGTAGTTAGGAGGGTTCCTTGTGGAGGATGAGCTGATGCTATTGTTAATTCTCAGGCGTGTTCTCTTCTCTCCTACCGCCCAGAAAGGACAGGCGGTGCCCAGCGCCAGAATGGAGCTGGTCGTGATGACTTCTTGTGCAGCTGGGCTGAATTCTCTCTGGAAGGACTTCGGGGCCTTTTGTCAGGCCTGTTGTTCCCACTGCCCCAGGAACCCCTCTTGAATGGGGAGAGCGTCTCTATGAGAGAGCACAGTTCCATACAGATGTGAGGCTCTGGGGAGCATGGGGAGGCATCCTGGGTTTCTGAAAGGATTTAGTCTAGAAAGGTCCCGTCGGTGGGACGTGGCTCCCTTTCTGGCAGAGCAGACATTTCAGGGTACCTACGTTTCTAATGCAAAACAAAGGACAAACAGAATCTGAACTGAGCCCCGTTGTCCCAGCTTTGCTGAAGCTGCCGAGTGTTTGCCTGCACTCGCGTTGCTTTCCTATAATGTCCTTTTAAATTACTGGATTAATAGCTTTTGCCCAGAACCCTTTGCTGCATGTCTCTTATTCAGGAATGGTTAGTGTCAATGTCTGCGCATATCAAATCACGATTGGAAGCTAATCTTCCCTCCTAATAAAGCAAAGAACGGTGCATTCCCTAGAAGCTGGGTGCTTGTGCGGCCATTCAGGAGAAATTCAAATGCCGCCCATCTGATTAGCAGAGCACCCTCACCTAGGTTTTGTGTTTCTATTGGTGGTGCACATTTGCACCTGCGTTGGTGCACATAAAATTTATTCCACACACAAATAGAAAAAAAAATCCATGCATGAATGGAAAAGATTAGAGAGAACATTGTTCCTCGTGCCAACACTGTATGTTCTCATTTCTGGGAAAGTATCAGAGGGGTAGTCGTGTTAGTCTGAATCTGCAAAAGCGGCGAGGAGTCCTGTGGCACCTTATAGACTAACTGAAGTGTAGGAGCATAAGCTTTCATGGGCAAAGACCCACTTTGTCAGATGCATGTGAAAGGCTAGTCTTGCAGCCAGGGAGTGCTAGAAATGTTTCTGTTGAACTAACCCATGAGTTGGTCACATCTATGGGCTGGGCTTGATAGCTGTTTTAGAACTAGTGAGTAGATTTTGTGATCAGGTCAAGATGAACTCAGCCATTTGGCTAATACATTTTCCTGGACTGCTGGTCTCTGCTTCTCTATTTTCATTTCTCTTCGAAGCTGCCCTCAGGCTAACAGTTCTGCCTCCAACCTTGCTCTCTTCACCAGAATGTTTCCTCTGACAAGCACTGTGCGTTATTTTCATTTCCCTTCGAAGCTGCCCTCAGGGTAACAGTTCTGCCTCCAACCCTGCTCTCTTCACCGGAATGTTTCCTCTGACAAGCACTGTGCGGAATTGGATCCTGTCTGCATTATTCACGACATCCAGGGCTACCGGGAGTGGTCATTCCATGGTTCCTCAATATGACCTATTCAATGTAAGGGAAATCCTTTCAAGAAAAGGATCTCTTTTCTCCAGCTTTAGATGGGGCGAGGGTCACGTCTTTAATTATTGTCCCCCTATTAAAAGGCCCATTCTGCTCCCATTTAAGGCAATAGCAAAGCTCACAGTGGGTTCACCAGGAGCAAGGAAAGAGGAAGGATGGTGAGAGAAATCTCTCCCCAGAAGACACAGATGTAATTAAGCGTGCATATGGCATGCTTAGGAAATGAGTGCCGTCTCACTGGCAACAGTAGGCTAAACAGAAGCATCAGTCATGGGGCCTTAGGCGACTGGTGTCCTATACACTTTGGCTACGTCTACACTGGCATGATTTTTCGAAAATGCTTTTAACGGAAGTTTTCCGTTAAAAGCATTTTTGGAAAAGCACATCTAGATTGGCAGGATGCTTTTCCACAAAAGTACTTTTTGCAGGAAAGCGTCCGTGGCCAATCTAGACGCGGTTTTCCGCAAAAATGCCCCGATCGCCATTTTCGCAATCGGGGCTTTTTTTGTGGAAAACAGCACTGTGCTGTTTACACTGGCCCTCTTGAGCAAATGATTTGCGCAAGAGGGCTTTTGCCCGAACGGGTGCAGCACAGTATATCCGCAAGAACACTGACGATCTTACATGAGATCGTCAGTGTTCTTGCGGAAATTCAAATGGCCAGTGTAGACAGATGGCAAGTTTTTCCGCAAAAGCAGATGATTTTGCGGAAAAACTTGCCAGTCTAGACACAGCCAGTGTGCTTAACACACAATTCACAGACCCCGGTCTAACTTGAAACAAGTGATCGCCCTGCTTAGGACATCCTGGGGGAAGCCAGCCTTTCTGGCCACGTATTTGGTTTATACTCCCAAATATTTTCACTAAAAACTAGAACAATCCCCATCACAGGGGGAATGTGGAATATACTTTTACAAAGCGAGGACATGGCTAATTATTTTGAGACCGGTTTCAGAGAGGTGACAATGCTTAAATTGCTCAGGGCATGTGAGGGGCCATTGCTTTAAAAATCTTGCAGGGGCGCTAGGCCGGAGGAAGGAGTAGGGTGCCTGAGAGGTGGATTAGACTAGTGATTTCTTAACTACTGGGTCACGACACCCAGCTGAAGGAGGAGTCATAAAGTACTGAAAAATGTATTACAATTTAAATCAAAAAACTCTTGTTCCCCCTTTCCCTGCCCGACCTTACCCTGTAAGGTCCAATATTCTCTGTCAATCAATTGAATCCCCCTCAAATTATAGAGCGATAGCACTGACACTTTTATTTTTACTCTTAGGCTATGTCTACACTAAACCCAGCCGTTTTTGTGCAAAAACCCGCGGAGTGTCCACATCTCAAGTGCGTTTTTGTGCAAGAAAATTTACAGTAGAACGGCAGAACAGAGGGCTGTTTGTGGTGTAGGTAGACCTCTTCCGACAAGGAATAACTCCTTTTTGCACAAGAGTTCTTGCGCAAAAAGTTGTGTGTGGACGTTCAACAGGGGTTTCTTGCGCAAAAAGAACCTATGAGAAAAAGCACAGGTGCTCAGATGGCCATTCTGTGACTGGCGGCAATCAGAACTTTATTGCGCAAGAGTGTCCCTGCAGTGGGGACGTTCTCTTGCGCAAAAGCACATCACTTTTGCGATGCACTTTTGAGGTGTGGATGCACTTTTGCACAAGCGGTTTTTGCGGAAGATCTCTTCCACAAAAAGCTTTTTGCGCAAAAACCCTGCAGTGCAGACAAAGCCTTATAGTAAAGGTAAGGAGGTTACAAATACTCGTTTTAAAACTTTCGAATAAGGGATCACCCCCTTGGAAAGGCTGAAAACCAACGGAGTAGACAGCACATCTGTCCTTCACCTTCCATTGAAGCACTGTACCTTGTCCTAGTGCCATCCTGACACAACTTCACCATGCTGTCAGTGGCACTTGTGGGGTCGAAACAAAGTTCTGTACTTTGGCGAAAAACCAAAAATTGAATCCAAGGTTTCTGGAATCTAATCTGGGATAAGCCAGCAATTCCCCTGCTGGCTTTTTACAAATGATATTGCCCCTGTGCCTAATTGGAAAAAAGGCTAAAGAAACAACGAGACGTCCTGTGGCACCTTATAGACTAACAGATGTATTGGCGCAGAAGCTTTCATGGTCAAAGATCCACTTCGTCAGATGCATGTGATGCAGTGGGTCTTTGCCCATGAAAGCTTATTCTCCAATAAATTGTTAGTCTAGAAGGTGCCACAGGACGTCTCATTGTTCTTGCAGATTCAGACTAACACGACTACCCCTCTGATACTTGAGGTTAAAGAAAGATTTCCCTAAGAATAAACATTACACCACACCCTCATTTACAATGATGGAGAATTTCAGAACGTTGCCATAGTGAGTTGGGTGTAAGCATCTGTCATGGCTCCTTCCCTACTCTGGCATGATAAATGCAGAAGTGGGGGCCAGCACGTGTACCCCAAAGCCTTATCTACCAGGCTTTGGTATAAAACTTCCCCCAAAATCTTAAAAACCTAGATTTTGGGAATAAAACTTCCGCTGCCACCATCCAAATATTAATAACGAGATTAGGGAAAAGATCATTTGGGAAATCTCACCCCTATTATAAAAATCAGGACACACAAGTAACCAATGCCAGGTTAATAAAAAGAAAAGAGAAAACTTTTATTATTACAACAATATTCCTGTTGCAAGCATAAGGATCAGATGGAAAGGTAACAAAATATACTCATGGAGGAATTACACCATTGGCTAAAACTTAGTTAAAA